TTATATATTGATTACAATATACAATTTAAATGTGTTAGCTAGCTTATACAGGGTGGGGCAGAACCAATTGAGCAGTTTTGAGGCAAAATAAAAGAGTAATGGAGGTAACATACCATTTGAAATACTTATGTTTTGAAAACAATATCAGGAAGATGGTGTCTGTTAGCTGCATCACACTGGTGGAGTCATTCTCAGAAGTTTCCCACAGCACGTTCACACATATGGCGAGGTATGGCCATAACCTCTGCTGCAATAATCTGGCCCCTTAGCTGTGGTAGGGTGTGAGGGCAACTTTTGAACACACTTTCTTTTAGATGTCCCAAAAGAAAGAAATTGCAAATGCTCAAATCAGGTGACCTTGCAGGCCACTGTAAATCACCCCTCAGATACCAGACCTCCAGGAAACATGCGTTTCGAAACATGGAGTGACATTCAGGCTGTGTGAGCTGTAGCCCCATCCTGCTGGAACCACACGTCTCCCATTGCTTCATTTTCAACAATGTTTTCCATCCTGGGCTGCAAGAAATTTTGCAACATTGCAGCATAGCGATCAAAATTCACTGTCACGGTTACTCCCTCCACTGAGAATGACTCCAACAGTGTTGCAGCTAACAGCCCCATCTTCCAGATATTGTTTTCAAAACATAAGTATTCTAAATGGTATGCCATGCCAACCTCTAGGAAAATAAACTTTGTTCTTTATGTACCTCCATTACTCTTTTATTTTGCCTCAAAACTGCTCAATCAGTTCTGCCCCACCTAGTATATTGAGAGGTTGAGATTGTATTGACCTTTTAGATTTTGGCAATTAGAAAGATTTTTCACCCTAACACGAGTAGTATTCTAATTAAAATATTTAATTTCAATCTTTAAATATGTGAATTTAAAACTAGAAACAAAATTACAATTATAAAACTATGTATAAAATAATTAAATGCAGTGAATGGAAATAGAATGTTTGAATTATGCACATGTTCATTTCAAACAGTGTTAGCTTTTCTCTTAAGTCTCGTTTAAAGTTGTTTGAGGTTTGTTTGTTTATCGTTCTGTTTATGTTTAGTAGTGGTCTGAAATAAATGGGAACAGTGCAGTCAGTCACTCAGTCACTACTAGTTGGTGTGTTTAAAGTATAGAGCCTGGTAGATTTATAGGATATAAAACTAGTAGATCTATTGATAGTGCTGTGCACTGTGCTATCAGCTACCTATCTCAGTATCTGCTGTGTGACTCTTCAATGTTTCGAAGATCTGCATTCCTGAAGTGTTTTTGTATATTGAAGCCAGTTAAATGGTCAATATTTAGCTTGTTACCTTGCTTCATACAAACTTAACAAAGCTAATGAATAGACTTATCAATAATTGTTTACCCAAAAATCCCAAAGTGGTCAACACCACCTTGGCCTGTTGGTCATCATTGAAGGCAATAACAGCCCTTTTTAGCCATCCATTATGATCCACATACTGTTATTATTAGTAGGCTAATTGCAACATAAAAAATAACCTTTCAAAAAGACAAAAAAATGAAAAAATAAAAAAATCGTTCATTTTTACAACACTTCTCTTTAACTTCACTTCTTGTCTGTCTGTCTGTCTGCTACAAATCTTGTAATCAAAATTTAATACACTTCTACTTATCCTATCGATCTGAAATTTTGCCAACTTGTGTAAAGTTGGAGACAATGCATGAATCAAATGTCAAAATAAATGATTTTAGAAATTGAAAAAAAAAAAATTTTTTCAATGTTAAAAAAATTGAAAAAATAATTTCGTCAGCTACAAATCTTATAACTGATATTTGACACACTTTTACCTGTCTAATTGATCTGAAATTTTGCACACTGGTGTGAAATCAGAGGCAATGCACGAATCAATTAACAGAATAAATAATTTTGAAAAAAAAAATTATATATAAAAAATATATATAGGTATATATATAAAAAATTGAAAAGGTAATTTTTTTAATTTTCGAAAATTAGATGAGAAATTCGTTCTGTAAGATTGGGTACATCTGTAAGATTGGAGATACTAGATTCTTTGGAAGTGTTGTCTTTAAAAAGTAATTTTTAAATGCATATTTATTTTATATATTTTTACAACACTTCTCTTTAACTTCACTTCTTGTTTGTCTGTCTGCTACAAATCTTATAATCGATTTTTAACACACTTCTACCTCCCCAATCAATCTGAAATTTCGCACACTTGTGTAAGGTTGGAGACAATGCATGAATCAATTGACAGAATAGATAATTTTGAAAATTTAATTTTTTATATAGTAAAACAATTAAAAATTTAAATTTTTTAATATACTTATGGAAATAAAATTAGAAATTCATTGTACATGTGAAACATCGCAGACACTGTATTCTTTAGAAGTGTTGTCTATAAAAAGTAATTTTTAAGCGCATATTTTTTTTATTTTTTTTAAACAAGAAAAAATCACCAACCCTGGTTCAGAGAACTGGCCAGCGTACTGGTGCCTCAGGTAATCAGTCCAATGCTTCACAGGGTCAAAGTGTAGCAGGCTTTCGTGGCCGTGAGTCGTAACCGTGATTGTTGTTGTCATTGTTTTGTTTGTTGATGTATTGTTGTTGTTGTACTTGCTTGTCAATTTTAATGCAACCCGAAATAAAAGTAAAATTTGAATACATCCATCTTATCGTTTTAGGATTGTTATAGGAAAAAACTGGGCCATTTGCTTGCTAGGAATTGTAAAGTACTTGCGGGATGCATGGCAGGGTCCCGATTTTTTCTTAAGTGCTTTCTGTATGTGAAAGACACTTGGTGGGGAGGAATGTTTGGGGCCACATGCTGGTATATAAACTATTTAGTAATTGTTATAAGTGTCTTGTATTAATCCTCTCTTTCTATTGTCCCAGTGTGTGATTACTTGAGTGAAAGCCAGATAAATTCAGATTAGTGTAAAATCACATTCATTGACAGTCACTAGTTGAGTGAAGCAGTGCAATACTGATCTGCTGCTATTTCATGCTAATTAACCTGCTATAAACAAACCTGCTTTCTGGTCATTTACTGCCATGCTGATCCATCACTGACCTGCTATGAATATCATGGCTCTTAAATAGGTGAGTAAAGGGAATACTCTTGCCACTCATCTCAGTCCTAAATTTTAATTATTGAATGTTATCAGTAAATGTTGTAAATTTCATCAATCATCCCTTAAAAGTTGTTTTGGAGTGTTGTATTAGATAGATCAATGGGTTTTTATGTGTTCCAAGTGTACTTATGTGTTTCAAGTATTATTGTTGGATGGGTTTTATGTGTTCTTGTTCCTGCACTTTTGCAGAGCGGCCAATTTGGGGCGCATTCTGGCTTCCGGGCAAGTCTGGGACCAGTTTGAGATGAGTGACAGGCAAGCTTCGGGCTCAGTAGCCACATTGTAGTCAAGTCTTGGGCTGCTCTTTGGCTACACGAGCTGACACTAGAGGCCAGTGTGGATGCCCCTTTAAGTCCTGTCTAGCAACTCCTGTCAGAGCTGCCTTAACATGCCAGTTGAGTCTACCCCACTGCTACTCACTGGTAAGATCACCGCTGTCTTGTTTCTTTGGTTCAGATGCCACTTGATGGACCAGGCCTGACCCAGGGCCTGTTTTGAGCTCTCGATTCCTTAGTTTCATTATTCTTGATTAGATTTAGGATACTGATCATTATTCTGGCCCAGTTTAGATTATTTACTGTGTATTCTTGTTTATTCTTTACTGTTCAAACCGGTTTAAGCTGCTGGTTATTTATTTTCTCATGCTAGGTTTACCCCATAACCCATAGCCCTGGGCTGTCCCATCTTCACTAACCTGCAAACCTTCATATTTCACCTTCATGTACCGCTGATTCTATTTAATATATTTTTGCCTGGTTCTTTGTCTGTTTGATTGCCTGAGTTTGTTTCTATTCTGTTCCCTGTGCTGGTGCTGTACCGGCTGGACCGTCGACCTTTAGAGGGGCTGACCCCAACAAAATGATCGCTCTGCATGATCCACTTTGTGCTTTGTTGAAATGCAAAGTGTGTTTCTTGTGACCACCAGGGGCATCCTGGTGGTCACAAGAAGTCCAGGCCACAGGTAAAGGAGCCTTCAGGCTGGGCCTGGGAGCAACAGTGGATTATGTGGCTTATGGATCTTTACCACGCTATATGGAATGTTCTCTGGCTTGTCTGCAACTGGCCATGCCGGCATGAGGGCTCACTTGGCGTGTTTCAATTTTTCTTATTCCAGTATGTGTCCTATGTGTAATACTGAGGACACTATTATTCACTCCATCTTGCAGTGTTCACTCTACACAAACTAGAGGAGAGAGTTTCATTCCAACTTGGAAAATCTTTCACTTCCTTGGAGCCTTGTATCAGCTCTAGGTGGGGGAGATAGCCCTCAGAAAATGATCAAAATATGCACAGCAGTAATTCGTTGGCTGGGTAATGATTTGTCGCACAGCAGTAATACTTGATAATAATAATTTGTTGCACAGCAGTAATACCTGCTGAGCTGCAGCACGGTAAACACCCTATGAAGATGCCCAGTAACTAATTTCTTTTATCTCTTCTTTAACACAATAAGCACTGGCCAGTGAGAGTGAGCTAGAAATTAAACTGTGAAACGACAAGTGGCAAGAAGAAAAGGCTCAGATAGAAATTGGGTTGGGCTCAGACTGGGAGGTGTGATTTCTTCATACCCAAAGTCTTAGAATCAATTACAAAAAACCTCTAGTACTAAAAACTACACATTGTTATGCATTGTAGGGAGCGTTTTCTTAATTTTTAATTTTTTTTTTGCATTTCATTTTGCACCATTTGCTCCTCATCAACCAGAGTAGGGAGTTTTGCTCAAATCTAAAGAACCCTTCACGCTCTTGGAACTTCATCACAGCTCTAGGAGGGGTTATAGCCATCAAAAATAGAGACCTGCTGTGAGATTTGTCACCTGAGGCAATACCTGCTGAGATGCAGCTAGGTGAAACACCCCATGAAAATAATCTGTGCCTAATTCTTTTATTCCACACAACAAACACTTCTTTGTGTGAATGCAAAAGAAATCCAAATTAAAGCAAAATGGCGAGATTAAACAAAGTTCCGACAAAAATTCAGTTGTACTCAGGCTGGGAGGTGTGACTTCTTCACATAGTGGCAATGCAGTGAGTGTTTTAGACTCTGTGTCAATTTTAATTTTGAGTCGTATAGGCAAATATAGTCCTATATAGACCAGCAAAGTATCATGGATACCAGCATTATCATGCATAAGATGTTGTTTAAAAATTCAAATTTTAACTAAATGAGGAAATTAAAAATTGACCGAATCTAAAAATCTCTGGTTTGCCACTATTCTTTCTCACACCCAAAGTCTTGAAAGCAACTTGAAAAATTCCAAGTGTAGCAGTACAGAAACCTATTTGTTTTGACTTCCACCCCTGGCAAACTGAACTACAAAATCATTATTGGTCAACAGAAAGGAAATTATTTCTTGTAAACTCTAATGTTTGTTGAACTGAAATTGAGTTAAAAACAGTCTATTTAAGCATCCAATTAGAGTTTTCTCTCGGTATGTGTGGTTTGCAGTGGCCAGCAAATGACCCACCTGGCTTAGGTTGTTTACTTGAATACTACATGTCATGCTGAGATGAAAACCACATGTCATGGAGATCATTCATTTGTTAAGCAAGTGAATTTTTTCTATATGGGTGTTAAACTCTATGTTTATGCAAGAAAAATAGTGATGGTGTTCACACTATATGTTACAAGGAACTGTTATTTGTAAAATAGTTATTTTAGGGAATGCAACATGGCATGCATGAGCATATCATCCATGTGTTTTCTGGGCAAGATTTGGAGATGATTGTATACAATTGCATAATGGAATTTCATCAATAAAGGAGTAAAAGTTATTATTTATTTGGAGAACAGTACAAGTTAATTGGAAATGATGACACATTGTGTAAAATAACAGTTTGGAGAACAGTGAAAAAACAGCAGCTGTAACTAAAAAGACTTATGGCTGATTTATGAAGACCTAAAGGTACCTCCAATCCTAGCATTCCTCCATGATGTATATACATGCTTAGACATAGTTTTAATTCAGAAGTATAAACACTTGGAAAATTCCATCTCACAAAGCAAACCATGCAATAACAGGAGTGAATTGGAATCGCTTGAGAATTTGGAAAATTTTATGATATAATGAAGCATGCCATATATGATTTGCATGCAATACATCATGAAGCAAGTATTTTTAGTTACTTTTGTGGGCCATTCTAGACTTATAATATGCTACAATTTTTATTGAATTTCATAAAATTAAATGCATAGTTGAATGTTATTGTTGAATGTCAATTAATAAAATTGTTGCGCTGTAATTTCATTCTAAATTTATTTTCTTTTATGGCTGTAACTCATAAAAAACTTTTCACAGATTGACTTAGTTACAAACTAGTAGTGAGGAAAGTCATGTGATGCAAGTTTTCACATTTTACTTGAAAATTCTCATTTCAGGTGATTAACTTTACTCGTAACAAAGCTAGAAATATGGGGATACATTTTTATGGTAAATTAGTGGCATTTGCATATATCTAGAACTTCACATTAGCATTCAATGTCGAGTAACTTTTGTAAACCATACACTTGACCAGAACAAATGGACCAATTGCTTCTGAAAGCAATTTTGAGTGCCTTATAAAGCCAAATTATAATTCATTCAACAAGAGATACTTTTGAAGAGAGATACTTTGCAGTTTCTCAATGTTAACAGCATTGAAATCCATTCAGAAACGTGAACTTTTAATATTTTTTAGTCATTTGATGACTTGAAACCTAACTTCAATACAACCTTTTATTATGAAGAAAGTCAAATTTATTGATTGCTGAACTGTTGGTACTGCTTGCCAATGCTGTCTTTTGTTTATTTAGTATGTGGCTGTGTCTTGTGAAAGGGGGTGCTAGTGTGCTTTGGAGGGATTTGTAATGAAGTACAGCAAACCCTTGATTAGCACGGTTTTGAATACCGCGGTTTTGATTAACGCGGAAAAAAAATTTGCGACCTACCCTTAATCTACGTGGTGCCAGTTTTGATTAGCGCGACTAGATGTGTATAAGAGACAGGCATAATACAATAATGACAAATAAGAAAATAAGAATACTACCCGAACTTTACGTATATGATGGATAAAATAATTAAGTTTACAAGTGACGACGCACATCAAAGTTCGTCAGAGCTGCAGGGTATAGCAGCCCCGAGCGTCTTCTCCGCCCAAATGACTATAAAACATTGGCTCTGATGCCGCAATTTTGCGGACGCTCAATTACCTGCCACGAGTGGAGACCCTGGCCTGCAGCTGCAGTTGTTAGCGAGTTTTCTGTGGAATATGCCGGTAATGTCGCTCATTTGACGGGCTCGCTAAACTCCGATTATTTCCGCTAGTAATTAGAGTTGTTGGGGATTCAGTCGGACTGGAATATGTGGAGGCTTAATAACTAAAGCTCGGCATTCGGACATGGTCTGTTAACGCTGAAAGTTTAATTGAGCTTCTACTGACATATTGACATTTTGAAGCAACAACGACATTTTATTTATAATTTGATTGACAAGTTTTGGTACTGTCTCTTATACACATCTAGATGTGTATAAGAGACAGCATATCTACTGCTCACTTTTATCAAACTACATAATTTTCCTTTCCTTTGCTATTTTTGAGGATTCATTATAATTATTCCCATATATTCTTAAGTTTGATTAGCGCAGTTTTGCTTAACACGGTAAAACTCGGGGATTTATTAACCGCGTTAATCAAGGGATTGCTGTATTTCCTCATTTTCTATGCATTTCATGTTTCTTTTCATTTTATCAAAAAATTCATATAATCAAAAAGTTTTTGTATTAGTGATTTCAAAAAGGTTGGTCTGTAAATATGAACATTTTTTACCAAGATGCTCCCCTTAAACTAGTGTGCACTATAGGATAATCCAAAATACTTTGTGACTACTGGTACTTGCTGCATTTACAAATTGGTTCCAGCACATCATGTCATTGATCATTCACACCTCATTTCAGGTTCTTCAGGAAGACGACCATTGTTGCAAGAAGATGTGCCCACAAACCTCCATGTTTCAGTGAATTGTCCAAGTTCTAAATGATCCTAAATTAATCAATTGATCTGAGGTTAAAGATTTTACTGAAAATGACAGATTCACAACTTAGACACAACCGTGAAAGTGAGTTCGCCAGTGGAAACGATTCAACTCTTTCTCCATCTCAGGATGATGACTTGCCTGAATGCAAAGTGGTCCATTGGAAACGCAAGCACATGCCTATAGCAAATGGAGAAATGTTGGGAAAGACCAAGAAGCGGCCCAAAATAATCCCAGCACTTACTGAGCCATCAAGTCAGAAGAGTACCACTGTTATTGGGTTGCTCACCAGCACAACTGAGCAACAAGGTTCCCAAGTAATCCTCATCCGTCCAGCAGATGATAGTTCTAAGAGTATGTTAACCTCACTAGAGCAGCTGAGCTCAGTATTAGAAGCTCTACCATTTTCAACCATACAGGTACAAGATATAAGAGTCAAGCGCCGAAAAGAATTGATTGCTGTTCAGCTCTTGGGGGTTAATGAAGCAGATATTGCTTCTATTTTGCAACTGACTCAGCTTGGACCTTGGTCAGTTATTGTGGATGTTTCATCCAAGCCCACTATGAAGCCAGTAATTAAAAAAATTAGGCAGAAAAGACAAGAAAATATTTCTGTGAAAACTGCTCCAGCCATCCTCAAATGTAACTCAGCGGGTAATTTACATGAAATTAATGAAAATGTGAAACCAAATATCATAAAAGGAAATTATTCAGGTATTGACATTAGTGGCCGTGGCAGTGGCAATTTTGTTGTTGGCATGCTTGGCCCATTTAAAGTTATCAAATCTGCAAAGGCTAGAATATCTTCAGAGTTTTGCAGTCTTGAAGACTATTTCTACAAACCAAAATTCAAATCTACAGAAGCTGAATGGGAAAGAGCTAAATCCTGGACAAATTTTCAAGAAAGCTTATATAACAATAAAGAATTCACTCCTGAAGATTTAGGAAATGAATTGAATGAGAAAATAAATAAAATTGCCAAGCATTTCATGGATTTTGAACTTGGCACTCTTGATGAAAAGTCCATGAAAGAGAAGAAGATGAATAAGGTTGACTATGCAATGCCTTACCTGCCAACATACAACGAGGTTGAGGTGGGTATTTTTCTTGACCTTTTAATTGCAAGTAAGACTGATCTATTAGTGATTCTTGAGGTTTTTTTATGTTCACTCACTCCTCAAAATGGTACTTAGGGTATATTGACTTCTGATTGAACATGTATCACCCTTTTTTGGAGAGCATCCTTGCCATGACTATTTCCACATATATGTATATATATATATTTTTTTTTGCAGGAATTCAAATTGTGTGGATATACTTTTTTTTATTCTATAGTTGCCATTGTTTACCCAATTCATCCAGTTACCAAATTAATTTGTAGTTACTTTTTATCTTTATAAATTTCATTTCCATTCCATTCTCAGCAAGTGCAAAAAATATGTAAAAAAAACATTGTCCGATGAAATTAATAAAATTATAACAAGAATTGATTATCTTGTAGCATTATTAAATTATGAATAACTTCTATTAATATTATGACATGCCTGATTGCTGCTTTGAAGTTTATTGAGTAACTTGGATGGGAAAGATGTAATGGAATCTTTAACAAATATAATTTTAGAAAAAATTTTCACCCAAATAGATATACCTTGTAGCTGTGTAGATAGACTGTTTGGTTTATGGAACTTGATATATTACTGGTTAAATTAAAAGAAATGTACATATAGTTTAAATAGTAATGAATAAATAACCTATTCTGGATAAGTAATTGCTGATAAGTTGTCAGGTCATTATGCTCAAATATTGGAGAGAAAACTTGTCTCGTGTTGAAAACTTGTCTCGTGTTGAAAACTTGTCTCGTGTTGAAAACTTGTAGCTCCTCCCATATTACAATATGTCTACAGAAGTTAGCCAGGCTGAAAATTCTGTTATCAATTTTAGATTTATGTTTTTCATGTGATTTATTTTGTTGACCATTGTTTTTATTACAGTTTCTTGGAAAATTGTTCATGAATAAGGAAAGTGATGCTGATGAAGATGCTGTGGTTGAAACCCTGCATCAGAGTAACCCACATGGCAAATATAATAAAGGAAAATTTAGTGAAAAGGAGGGAGAAATTATAAATGAAAATTGGAATCAGTTTCAAAAGGTCAGTTAATAGGTGATAATTTTAATTTTTAGTTTGGCTGAATGAAGTTGGAAAACTAAATGTTGAGTCTTTCATTTTTAATTATGGTTGATCATTTTTCATTGTTCTACAAGATTTTTGCTGCAAATTATAGGTACAAAATATTAACCACTGCATTTTATCAAAAAGTTAGTTTCCTTTAGTCCACCAGAAGACTCATTCAAGTGGCTCCTTTTTTAGCACATTTTCTCATTTATGGAAAAAATGCACTATTGTGCTTGCCATGTTCGTCTGTCTGTCTGTCCATCCGTCTGTGACCTCAAGTTTTCGTCAATGAGAAAATGCGCTCTCTGTCACTCACTGCAGTGAGTACTAAGTTATATTTTTTCATATTTGATACAACATGTCTAGTGATACTGTCCATGACAAACAAGTCATTGATGGCATTACATGATCTTTTCAAAACAATAGATCACTACCACCTACATTTCATTTGCTTTATTTATTCAATTGTTATTATAATACTCCAAATATTTTTAACAGTGCCTAACAGTTCTGCCTGTTGACTAATACACTTCCAATCCAAAATTTGCTAGGACATTTGGTTGTCTTCCACAATGCACATTATAAATCCATATTTCTCATCCACTTCATATTATTTGCATCTTGCCAACCTGGCTTGTACTTCTTCACAGCAAACATATCTTCTTTTTTATTATTATTTACAAACCTCTCTTATTTATTATTATTATTTTGGAATTAATGCTCATAATGATAGCATTAACAAAAATTGTATGATTTGAATTTTACCATTCAATGTATTAAAAAGAATCATAGGTATACAGTATTATTCAGGAATTACCAATGTGTATTGTTTGTTGAATAATTGTATATATGTATATAACTCAAGTATATGCATTGAAGTTTTAATGGCAGATAATCTTTCAATTGCTGCAAATAACTCCAATCCTCTCTAAATTTAATTGGCAATGTTATAATTTTTGTGCAGGAGTACAAATTTTATGACTTGCGTCCCCTGATAAACTACCGCACCTGCATTTTGGAAGGCAGTCCTGACTCATTTTCAATAAATCAGGTCTTCTTCACCTCAGTACCCCAACAAAAAAAGTTTCTAAACTACATAAGAAAAGGATTAAACCGAAGTTTGGTGCAGGTATGTTAGACNCAAGTGGACAGATAAATAAGGGGATGCTGCAAGATGAATTGTGAACATAACTAGCTGGAATTAATTATAATCATAATCCAATATAATAAATTAACTTCTTCAAACTAAACCATATCAGTCAGAGATGAATACAACCAAAGTAAAATGCAAGGAAACACAAGAAATTAATATCAATGAAATTAGCAAAATAACAAGGACAACTTAATCTAATTTATCAATGAATAAATGATATAAATTTCTATACCACTCACCAGTGCAACTGAGTGCCCAGGCTGAGTGAGATACTGAGTAGGAATCCAAATACTTAAGAGTGATAATTAAAGTTTGCAAATGATAATTTGGTCATCTACACTGAAAAAGATAAAAAATATTGAATTTAATTTAATTTGAGTTGGATTAAGAACTGAAGAAATATGATTATTAGTAAAGAGAGACATGAAGGTTGGGCTACACAGTAGCCTAATTTAACCTCCGGTAACAACATGGCTGCAAGTGGTGAAGTGATTTCACAAGTGATCAGGTGACAAATCATATTATTTGCTTTTTCAGGAGAGAGTTTGTTTTGAACTTAGTGCTGACATTATACATTTGTGTTGCACTTTTATTTATGAAAGATTTTTGCTACCGTGCATGTTAAACAGCTTTGTTGTGACTTACTTGCTATTACCTTCTTAACTCCTCCTGAAATAAGTGCAGTGCTCTGTTTAGCTTGTCTTTTGAAATTGCAACCCAAGAATCTGGGCTTCTTAACTTCCAAGCACCTGACATAATGTTAACTGAAAAAGTGTTTGTCTAAATTAGAGGCTTCTTGTTACACCAATTGATTCCCACTGCCAATTGTTTTTATGAAAAGGAACTTTGTTGTCGAATTAGTTTTTTCTTAATGCCAGTGAATATAGACAGTTCCAATGTGTGTATCTTATTATTACCACTTTTTTACCACGTTTTTCTTGACTTCGTTCCGTGTGTGTCTGTCATCAAAAATTCAGACCTTAATTTAGAGCACTTCTAAACATCCTAGTAAACTGAAATTGGGCATGCATGTTTATGCTGCCTAACAATTCAAGATTTAATCATCAGAAATAATAATTTAAACATTTTTTTAATGAAAAAATATAAAAAAAAACACTGAAAATTCACGGTTTGGAATTGAGTTTTTTCTCAAACATCCACACTTGCCAACCCTGGAAATTGATTTGAATTGCTAAAATTGCTATTTTTTTTTTTTGCTTAAGGAATATTATGAAAATGTTTTAGTTATATAATTTTACAAATAGCTTCATATTATTAGTTTTGTTTCCCACAGGTAAAAATTCACCTGCGTTCATTAGTATCAAGTAAATACAGCAATTTTGCATGGAGCAAACGCACCCACTTGGCTGATCAAGACGTCAAGACAAAAAAAGAGCTGTGCCTTATTGACCTGTTTCTCAAGCGCTATGGCGTAGATGCTGTTTCAATGGAGTTCATCCTGAATTCAAGTGGTAGACTGATTACCAATAGCCTTAGGCATCACTATCGCTTCAAGCTCTGCCCAAGTGAGATACTTGTTTCTTATGTCTATTGAATTATAAACCAGTAGTTTAATTTAGTAACCTGACTTATCATTGCTTCTTGTTCTAATATAGTTGGATGAACTATTTACTTTAATTTTTTGTCTGTTTGTCATAGATAAAGTCTAAGTAGGGTTATGATCTAAAAGCAAATGTAAACTGAGGTTTCATTATTGAATTTAATTTTTTGTCTTCACTGCTAATTTCATTTGCATATATCATGGCTTTCAAAAAAATGTTATTATGATAAAGCTTCTGATATCCATATCAGGAGCTACTTTATGATGTAAAATTTTGATATGTATCTTTATACAAAGCTAACATTCCCAGCACAAAATTACAATATGTAAGCCCTTAGGTAATGGAATCTTAACTATATGTACATTATCTGGTGTATGAAAATCATGTAATCATTACTTATCCAATCTTTCAGCAGTGAAAGTTGATTAGTTTCACAATATTTTGTTTATTGAGTAACCAAATGAGTTGGCTTAGGCTAATTCATGGTTGGTAACTATTTCACTTGCAGCCAAATGTTATTTCATAAGTAGTCTGGTGATAAATCATATTAGCGGTACTTGCTTTTTCAGATGAGAGTTTGTTTGAACTCACTGTTGACATTATACATTTGTGTTGCACTTTTATTTATGAAAGATTTTTGCTACCAATGCATTTTAAACAGCTTTGTTGTGACTTTTACTTGCTATTACCTTCTTAAATTCTCCTGAAATAAGTGCAGTGCTCTGTTTAGCTTGTTTTCTGAAATTACAACCCATGAATCTGAGCTTCTTAACTTCCAAGCACCTGACATAATGTTAATTGAAGAAGTGTTTGTCTAAATTAGAGGGTTCTTGTTACACCAATTGATTCCTCCTGCCAATTGTTTTTACGAAAAAGAGCTTTGTTGTCAAATAATTTTTCTTAATGCCAGTGAATACAGCCAGTTCCAATGTGTGTATCTTATTAATATTTTGGCTATTTCAGTATAAGCAAGGGCCTTCATCCAACATTTTTTCAAATATTAAAAATTCAATAGTATCACCTGATTCAATCTGAATTATTTTTTGCTTATTCAAGTATTCAAATTTATCTTTTTCTCAAGTTAATTGTTACCTCTAAACTTGAAGACAATTTAACATTGGCAATAGTTGCTTCATGTAGGTACTTATTTTTCAGTTGCAAGGGAATAGTTGCATGGTAGGTCTAAATTTGTTTGCCGAACAGCCTTGATTGGGGGTTGCAAGGTGATTAAACCAATCTTTAACATTCAGGGATGTCAGGTTCAAATTGCCAAAGTCATGCTTATTAAAAAATTGTTCTCCAGCATAGCATAGATATCTGAATAAAAATACATCAACTAATTTACATTTTCCGGACAGAGCAAATAGTCTTGAAAAAATTTTCTTAAGATTATTCTAAGCTATTTGGAGTATTAGCATGGCAGTGGCTAAGCTGACCATAACTTGTTTTCAGTTGCCTATGGACCATGGACAGAAGAAGAGATGTTGCGTCTCATCAAAGGAGTGGTGTACACCTGGAACAAAGCGCCTGCTCAAAACCACTCCCGTTCCTTCAGTGGCATTAACTGGATGAAAGTATTCCTTTTTGTCAGAGTGAGTTGTTTTTAAGTACAAAAGTTCCCTAGAATTCATAAGCATTTAATCTTCTTAGTTTTCAACATAATTCCTATCAATCAGCATGGAGAACCAATGATTGTTTTTTTATGTCAAGATTTTGCATGTAGTCATCCTTAAAATGTCCAAGGCGTTTTGCATATTAGACTGCATTGCCAAGGCAGTCAGCAAACAACATAGGTTTTCTTCATTTTATTGCACTTGTAAGCTATATGTTATATGAAAGAAGAATATCCACTGGAAGCATGGCAATAGGTTGGGAATAATGTACAAAAATAGACACAGACCAAATGAAGCAATTTAAATGTTACACTAACCCTCTTGACTACTGTCAATTGTGGGTATTTTGGATAACATAAACAAATTATCATGGTATATTGTCCCTGCACATAAAACATATTTGCAAGCAAAACAATTGCAAACAGGAGTAATGCTGCATTTACCAATAATAAATTACAGGAGTGATAAAATCCTTAGATGATACAGCAAAGCGACCAGCTTTACCATAAACCTTAACTGGCAACGCACTGAGATTTACTGACAGGCTGCAGCCCGTAGCCTCCACTCTGCAAAATGTTGCCACAATAAGCTATGTGGCGCCTGATTAACCATGGGTGGGAAAAAGATTTTAAGTGCAAGTACATGACAGAATACCATGTCATTTCTCAGATGTGTTTACCTGGAAATTATTAGACATTTATTTCTTCTTTCATTTCCTGTTGACTTTTTGGTTATCCAGAAATGTTTCTCAGGAGAGTGGCTCAATCTTGACTTGGATCCTATTTGTTCCAGTATATGTACTAATAATATAGGTTCATAATTTCCTTATTGCCTGTAAAATCTGTTGAGAAAATATCTCTTTTTATTCCTGTAAAGTTTAAATTGTTACTAATATTTTTTGGTTACTGTGTGCTGCCGAAAATTAAATTGTGCAATTGATTGAGCTTTCATGCTCATTTATTTATTTTTGATTGCACATATTGAACTGAAAATGAGCACTTCAAGCTATTGTGTGTGGTAAAATGTATTGAACTCTCAGCCAATATCTTGTATTAAAGTATTGCACTTGATATACAAGAAAATTCCACAAAGTAATTCTTCATGGATATGTGACCCTATTATTTAAAATGATATATATTCATTGCATTGGAAAATGGCTATTTCTAGTATTTTCTGTAAAAATTCACACGTATTCTAGTATTCTGTAATATGGCTGTAGCCTGTTTGGCAATTTCTAGTATTTTCTGTTAATATACACATACATGGCTGTGGCCTGTTTTACAGAGGAGATGACAGGTGATGCTGCTATTTTGACTGCTGTTTTATTCAATTAAGTTCCTGGAGTTCTGTAATGTTGAATCTGTGTTACTGACATTATTGAGTTCAAAGATGCCAAATGTTGAGGAAGCTTATAATATTTTTTTTTGTGTTCAATTGCACTCAAAGTTTTTTCAGAGGATGTGATTTAGCAACAGTAAGCTATTTTTCTGGATAGTATTTGCCTTAGCCGCTTTTATTTCTAATTCATAATAAAGATGTTCTTGCTAACATTGAAATAGATTTGGGAGTGATTTGTTATTAAGATATTTCATTGTATATTTTGTATCAATGTTAAGCTTTCCTGCCAAGGACCTTGTTTTTTGCAGACACGCACGCCTACATCCTGCTGCCATGCATATGTCGAGTTTGCAAAGCAAGCTTTGCATAGGCATCACTACAAGCTGAAGCATCCAGACGCTGAGGATCTCCCAAAGTGGACATCTAATCATGAATTGATGCTCATTAAAGAGTAAGAGAATAATTTGGTACATTTAGATATCTTTTAGGCTGTTTCAATTTGCTTTTTTCTATTAATTTCTAGATACCATATTCTAGAAATGTATCTTATTGTGTGCAATCATTTATCTTAGTTATTCAATACAAGTTTCTTTCTATGATGCTAGTCCTGTCACTGCCATCACACAAAGCAAGGCTTTCCAAAGTTCAATTGGCTGTTGAGTTTTTTGTTAATTTTACTCTTTGTTAATACATAATTTTATTTTTATTTTATTAATTTGATTTAATTAATTGAATTTAAAAATTTTATAAGTGATAATAATTTATTATCTGTATTCCAATATTTGAGATTGTCAATGACTACAGGTATTGCAATCATTAAACTTATCTATTAACATTTTTATTTTAATTCAACTTTTAGTTAATAATCTCATTTGATATTTTCTTTTATATTTCTCTGGTTACATTTTGTGATGATGCTTTCTTTGTGACATTTCTTTATTATTCACAACCAACTCCACTTCCAGTGTCTTCCTAAGGATTGATTTGAACAAAATATTCTATCCAGTTCATAATCAACTGCATGAACCAGGAAGAAGTACTTATATTAAGCTGTTGTTGCCAGCGCTATGCAATGCTTGTGTCGGGTTCTTTAGTCTCTGGCAACAATTTAGGTGAATGAAAGTTTTCTTCTGGATATGGATGTATTGTTAAAGCACGGGGCAGTGATTACAGATGCAGTTGCAAATTGAATGAAATGTAACCAGACATTGGGAGCATGAGTGAGGTATTTGATCAGTAAAAGATAAAACATATTATCAATAAAAGTGAAATCAAATAAAAGAACCTCACTCACAGCAGTTAATCAGAACCAAAAACCCTTAGCATTGACATAACAATCAAGCAGCAAGCGGTAGTTTCAGCTCAGTTAGAATATAATTGATAAGATCAACACACAAGAGTAATTCAAGAGATTAAAGTAAACCAAGGTAAATGGACACTATTGCAACTGTGAAATGTCACTGATCAAGCACATGCATGAATAATATAATTATTGGAATTTTTCCCCGTGCCTGAAAAAATAAAGAGAAATGTTTGGTATTGAATTAGAACATATACATTGAGTGAACAAATGAATAACAGATTTGGCTTGCAATGAAAAATACTGAAATAACCACCCGGCTACACTGTTGTTCATCAGTAAATGATTGCACTGATTGTGATAATGCATACTCTATTTGTGGAATCTGGCTTATTTATATTTATCTGGATGTATATATTATTGCTTTTAGGCAGAAATTCATGTTCAAGCCTGAAGCTCTGAAAATTACTTGATAGATGAGATACAACACTGTTGGTCACATTTTAAAAAAAAAATCCCAAATTTAACTTATAATTCTCCCTTATAATTGGGTTCTCCTTGTCAAGGTTCTCTTGGTAGGTATGAATTGATGAATTCTTTTATTTACAGGATGACCAGATCCCCTGCCAATACTCTGTCGGTGATGGACTTCAGGTCAATGATGGTCCTACCGGAGTTTGAAGGCTTCAGTGACAGCTACCTGCGGCGCATGGCGCGTGATGCTATTGCTGCCTGGGTGCCTCTGCCGCAGCGGCGCAACCTCGACGGTATCTTGCTTGTTTCCACTCTCCAAATGTTATATCACTTCTTGCTTAAAGCTGCTTCTTGATAGTATCCAGTCTCCATATGCCATTTCACTTATTGCTTCATGCTGCTGATAGCCACTATCTTGCTTTTTTCCACTTTCCAAATTCTATTTTACTTATTACTGAAAGCTGCTATCTTGATTATATACAGTCTCCATATGCCATTTCACTTATTGCTGAAGGCCGCTAGCTTGCTCATTCCCACTCTCCATGTGCTATATCACTTAGTGCTGCATGCCATTGAAGGCCAGTATGTTTTTTACCATCTACATTGTACACAGAATAGCACCAACTAGACCATGCCGAATCAATGTTTCAACTGCTCTTAATAAACAATTATTGTGTCTAATGACTTAGTCTTCCCAAACATCTTCAAACAAAATAAGCACATAAAGTATCCAACTTGGGAAGTAATCGCGCAAGAAAAGGAACTTTGTAACATATTATAGTATGAACAAATCCAACATCTGAACTATAAATGCACACAACCAACTAATTTATCTTTCTTAACTCTGTTCAGAGACAGTAAAGATCTATCCTATTGATGTTTAGGTCACAGTATAACTTTAGAAATTAACATTTGGATAATGCTTGTCGAAAGAACGAACTACTCTCTGAACAATGCATCCTAACAATGAGAAAAGTAGACATATACCGATGATGAGGCAACATAATTAGGAGTGGTCAGCAAAAGTGGGACCAATACACTCACAAAAATAAGTTTGGCTTGGAATCCTTGGAGGATCTCCACAAAGAAGACAGAGTAACAAATAACAGCTCTGTTGGTGGATTTTTTGGTGTATTCCCACAAAGAGGACAGAGTAAGAGATAACATTTCATGCAACACTCGCATGAAACTTGTACACATCACTAGTACATTGAATGATGAAACAACATGATGAAGCATGAACGTCTTAATTACAATGCCCAATTTTACGATTACCCGGACGATGGCCTAAAGTGCTAGAGCATCATGAAAACATGACGTGAAATATAATTGATGTTACTGAAACTGCCGAAAATTTCTGACACATTATGACGTGATACCACATGCACTTCAAAATTACCTTAAAAAACATACGATGCAATAACCTGCAAGATTGTGAGTCAAAATCTCACACAGGCATTGTGAGATTTGGTTACATTTATATATTATACATCGCAGAACCGCCTATGTAAGGCTTTTCAATCATAGTTTTAGCTGTTAGTTATTATTAATGCCATTCTTCGTACACAATTCGGTGTAATTTTTCTCTGCTGGATTTGGTACACAGAATAATAATAATAATCTCGCAACAATGAAGGTTATTTTTCTGTATGACTTGTACTTTATTATTGAGTTCTGAAATTAATGAACGTTACCTCTCTTGTCTTCTTGTAACAGAATCACTTAACTCAAAGATGCACATAACATTGCAGTTTTCAGAACCTTGTTGAACATTAATTTTAGTGATGAATTTGTTTAGTATATCACTCCAAACTTCAATAATTCTCACTAAACCAATTTTTACCATTGAGAATGTTCAATTTCATTTATTTGTAACCAAGTCTTTTTGTGCTGCACAGACTCGCTGGACTACCTAGCTACTCACATCCTGCCAAAGCTCGAGCGCAAGCTTGACAACCACTCCAGAGTGTTGAAGCAGATTAATCTCTACCGAAGTGCCAAGCTTGCAGACGCCATACCCGAGTATCTCGACGAACACATCAAGCGAATGTTCGCTACTGTGCCGCTGCATCAGCTTGACATCACTGAGCCTGATGTCGAGGATCCGGACCTTGAGGACCCTAACCTCCTGGATGGCTTGGATGATGACGACCTCAAGTTAAAGAAAGAAGATTGCGATTTGTTTGGTGATGATGACCTCGAGCTGCAGAAAGATGATTGCGAGTTGTACGAAGATGATGACTTCGAGTTGGGCGAAAGC